ACTTCTTCAAAATATTACCTTAACTTGATGAAAAAAGCTAAACACAATTTAAATTTCTCCGCGATCCCTTTCCTCCTTCTTTCTCAATCTACCCAGTTATGGAAAAAATTTAAAAAGTGTCAAAAAACAAGCAAAAAATCATGTTCTCGTAGATCCTTCAGGGTGTTTTATTTAGATAGGGCGACGATGATGCCTCAATTCGGAGAGGGTTGTGAGGCAGTGTTAGGGTACCTTTCAGCATATAATTTTACATTTAGAGGTACCCTGAGGAAATAAAACGACTTCACATACGAGCAAGTTCTGCTGTCTTTTGAGAAAGGGTTTCTTTCTTTTCTTTTTGGTTTTCCTTCGATTCGATAGCGAGCAAGCAGATAACGTCTCTTAATCTGTTGACTGTTACGTGATCCTTCCGTTGAAACAATTACTAATTTCTTTATTCCCTTTGATCAATTTTTTCTACCCTTTTTTTTTCTATTTTAGTTTCAATTCAACTGCAATTTCCTGCTTTTAGCAGATTTTGTTTGTCTGAAAGTACTTACTGCTTTCTTGAGGTTGAAAACCTTCTGAAAAGTCTCATTCTGCTCATAAAGAACAACGTTGATTTGTTGAGACTACTAAAACTATGCCAAATACTTCATTTTAGAGAACCGTTGAGCTGGTAATCAATCCTTTCTGGAAATGAAAGGGACTTTAGGATCGGTAGCTGCCTAATGGTCAGGTGATTCAGCACTAGCCAGAGCAGTTGAAGGAATTCCTGGATGCATAACTGGGCAATTTCATTTGACTTAAGTATTACATGTATCATGGTTTTAGTATTGTAATCCATCGCGAAACAAGAATATTCAAAGCACAAATCTTTGACGACTAGAACTTGACAGTTGTGCCTTGTGTAAATATAAAACTGTGCAGTTTTGTTTACATTGTCTTCTGGAACACTTTTTTCACAGCCAAATTAGCGTAATGCATAAAGTTTTCGTAATTTCCGAAACTTATTAAAGCAGTATTTTGTTTCTCAGCTGATAAAAATTTTCAACGCTAACATTAAAATGTACCCGCAGTGTTGTTGATTCCACGAAATTCTTCGGTCATTGGTTTAAGGAACTCCTAACTTCCGTTTTTTCACGACTATCTAGGACGTCGTCAAAACGAATAGTAAAAAAATCGGTTTCTTCAGCTCTGGGCTACAAACGGGTTAACGTAAAAAGCGTAAATAAATTACGAAATCGCACAGAAAGTGGAACTCCGATTTTTCGCTCAGCGCGAATAATAAAATTGCATGAAACGTTTCAAATGAATAAGTTGAAATGCTTTTGCTAGATGGATGAGTAATTCTAGAGGAATGAAACGTGAAGCGGATACTTGAAAACCGCATGACAAGGTCTAAAAGCGCTATATATTTTCATTCGGTTTCAAGGGTTCATTTTTTGATCCTTGCTGAATAACTTTTCAGTAATTCGGCACATGTATATTACAATTAACAAGCAAAATAGCATGCTGGAAAACCTATTTGCGAGAAATAAAAGACGATGGTTTTCGAAACTGAAAAATGAGGAATAATTTAAATCTCAAAGATCAGGATCGCCAGGAGGCTAACCGTCGTGCAATACAGCATAGGTTAGAGAAATGTAAAAGATGCTATTCGAGTACGTTTTAAACTGGGGCTGACCCGATTTTTCTAGCAGATAAATCCAAAATTTGAGTAATGCTTAAGATTCTAGTTCGTGATCTTTGTGCTTCAGTAATTCTTGATTTTGGCTCCAAAAAGTTCAGTTTGGTGCTAATGTTCGTTAGAAAACCTAGTACCAAAAGCGCCCTAATTTTCTCTTTGTGGCTTTGATGTTGCTGAGATGCAGCACACGCTATATAACACATTTTACATGAGTATCAAGCACTTGCATGGCACCAACTGCTTCTGTTCATTCGATGGACAGTTGCTTGAATATCTGCTTTCAGTCCTACGAGGCCTGTCCTTCCACGCCAGCTCCATCGCTAGCGGTTTGGTTTTCAAATCCAGTTCATGACATTTGCTGAGCTTCCGCGGCGCATTCGTTTCTTTCGACCGCTGTTCGGAATGAAGGTTTTCACCAAAACGCTGCCAATATGGGCCCATGTATTAAACCACAGTGTGGGAACCATTTCTGCTGTTAACGATCCGAAAGCTTAAAGCAAAATGCATGATAGCACCGGCACGCCTGATGCGTTACAGCCTGGAAGCAGCCTTTGTGAAATCGCGACTTTTACGCATCCATGCACAAAACGCGTTGTGCGTCAAAGCTGAGTTTATAATCTTTAACCTGCACAAGACATAAAATATCCTCGTGAAATTTCAGCCTTTTACCTTATCTGGTTCCTCAGACCGCTTTCCTGTCAAAAATTTCATATTATTTCTTTTAGGCACCCGTACATGAGATCCAAGCGTATGTGAGTGAAATAAAACGAGAGTGTTGTAATTGGTTAGGGCATGCTCCTAGAGTTTTAGCTTTCTAACTTTTTGAGTTCTCAAATCGAAAACGGATGACAAATGTGCGACCGCACGCATATATACAAACACACACGCACAACACACACACATATACAAACACAGCCTGTTGCCAATATGCGTTTTTATGCGTTTTTGCATATATGCAAATTGCAAAAACGCATATTGGGAAGAGGCT